CCAGAAAGCGGACGGAGCAGATGAGAAGAATGACGCGGAACGGGGAGAAAGACAAGAAGAAGCTGGTGGCAACGGCCGCGGTGATGCTACGATAGTGGCGGCTGAACGACGACCGAAACAATGGAAGTCACTGGGCAGACGGCGTCGAAATAGTGCTAGACGAGCGTGAGGCGCCCTTCTGCCACTGCAATCGCCCCCCCCTTCCCGTGTTTCCAGACCCGTCCAGATGAACCCAGTGCCGCCGATAGGATGCTCTGCCATCCCTTAAGCCCCAACTTGATTCTCTGCTGCCGGTGTAACAATGCTCAAAAATGGGCACAATCGTGTAGACCGAGAGAAAAGAGTTCGCCTTACGGTTTACAACCTTTGTTAGCATTACTGCTGCTGAAAGGGATCGGAATCGGACAGGGGGTTTGCTGCTCCGGTATGCTTTCGCGCCCCCGTTACACTAGTGACCCTTTACCAGAGCGCTTAACGCAATACAGTGTTACATAAATGGCCTACCGGTATGAGCGAAATTAGTGACGGTGTAAAGGACGAAGAGATAACGCTGATTGTTATGGGAGCGCAGAACAGAGACGCGCACTGCCTAGCTGCATGGCGTTATCTTAGAGTGTGCACGTGAGCGGCCGGGTATAAGCGACAACTCGACAAAATGGCATTAGGTACCAAAATGCCAAAATGCGCGATATATGAAGGGAGCTTGAAGATGATGGGCGAATAGGCCACCAGGCCTTTGGGCGAACGGAGGGAAATGGAGGAAGAAGAAAACGCTGCAGCATGCGACAAACAGCCATTGAATAGAATATGGCATATCTTATGCTAACGGACAGCCATGGCCCTGACATACCAACCAACGTACGATGGGGTACTCACGATATGCTCGGATGATTCGATGCCGAGAGTTTGTCCCAGGGAGCATTCAGCGAAATTCACTAAATTCCACCCCATGTAATGCTTAATTTCGGCTACGAAGGTAGCGACCGTTCACTATACCCCCTCCTCTCCTCTGCCCATTATCATTGTGCTAACAGCCGTTGTTATGTCATCTGCACTTATTAAAGGTTTGTGAAAGGAGACCCAATGCTCCCTTTATATTTCTATTTACAGCATCAGGCAATAAAGATTTAATTTCTGTTTAAAACTATGCCACATGAAAGTGAACCGTTGTTACGCGAAAAATTGGTGATGTTTACGGATGAGTTTATCTAGAGAATGTCTATCTGACACTAATACTTCTATAGAAACAATTTGATGGAACAAGATAAAATTGCTTTTCAGCTAATACTCTGCGTAACTTGAATAAAAAAATGATATTTTTTTATCGAAAGAGAAATTATTTCGCTTTGTTATTGAAATGGCTTTCGCGCACCTAATAGAATATATGCCTATCTATAAATTGACTGAAGTACATCTGTTTCCTGAGGCAGGGGAATCCTTAACGGATATGATATCTCTATCGAGAATTTCGAAAATATCGTTTATAGCCTCTGCTGACGAAACCGTATACATTGTAGGGCCGCATTTTGTCCCTATTTTGAGAAATATCGCTTATGTATTGCCTACTTCAATATTTGTAGAAGAACTTCATTCAAATATTCTGTGTTAACATAGCAGCAACATCATTCGAGCAGAAAGCTTTCATCAATAAGTTCAGAAGACCTTCATCTTGTTTGCATTTTATACATACAGTAGAGTGCCTACTTAGGTAAGTAGCTCTTTTAGCGAAATCCGGCCTTTTACTTTATAATTCCGTAATCGGCTTTAGCCAAGTCCGGCTTATGGGCCTCTTCTCAAGTGAACACTATGGTGAGCTGGTGGGATTCTTACAGGTTCGAGGTATCCCCGGGCTTAGCTCGATAATTAGTATTGACCAATCGCTGATTCATCGATGCACGGCATCAGGTAATATAATTGCATACAATTAGCATTCTACAGATGGGCTGTCTGTGAGCTTGGCAACAAGCTATCCAAGATTGTCAGGACAAGAAACGTCCAATAGAAACCTAGATTTTTTCAAAAGACTCTTGTGTGGCCCATTGGTAACAATGGTTGAGCCAGAATACCACCCGGAGAAGTGTTAGCAGCTTCGTTAGCCATAAACGTTTGACATGGCTTCGCTCGCAGCGAAGGTTACTATATAAAAGAGTGAATACGTGAATGGAATAGCAAAATTTGGGTAGAATACGATATAATACTGCGTTGTATAATATAGCATCCGATACTTTATATTCTCCGTAAGAGTCAGATCGGACACCTACGCACATCTTGAACATATATGTATGTACATACAGATGCGTGCTGTCTCTCAACGATGGAACTGTGTCTATTTGTATATCGGCTATGCTTATTGGCAAATATCACGTTTTCTATTATGGCTACATAGATTTATGCGAGTGTATTGGGTAAAAGACACGCGCCAGATAAATGAAAATTCATCGAGTGAGTCTATATTATAGTTCTCATTGAGCTAAGACTTGCACTATTCTGATAGCTTGTATACGGCTATCCTCTGATCACGAACACGAAGTCGATCATAATCAGCGAATAGCTACTCTTTTTTCGATGCATCTAAAAAAGGGCCTGTTTTCTAGGCACGTTGTCGTAATTAATGTCGCTAAGGCCAGGAAATTTGTACCGCTGACAACGCTTAGACATCCCTTCTGTTCATGGGGGTTGAATCAGGCGCACATCATCGGGTTCGAAAGCTAATAGTTTCACACGTTAATAATGAACATAATATATCCATTATGTATTATTGTCGAAAGTGAAGTTGATCTTATGCTTTATATTTGAAATATTTTGTAATTATATATATGAATGTAGTTAAACAGGTCAACGTATACATAATACTCGTTTACTTTCATTTTACGCAAAGAAACCACCGTCATATTGAAAGGTTTTCTATCCTGGTTGGCCCTCAGCCTAGGCTGTCTCACAGTCGTCTCAGTTTTAAAGTCTTCTGAACACGAAGCCCATCAAATCTAAAACACGAACCCGTAGGGATCCGAATTGCTGTTCCATGATTACCGAAGTTCAATTACCGTTCACAATGAATACATTGTCGAACGCCTGTTATGACCTTAGCATTAATGTGTCCACATAGTCAAAGAGAGTTCCGCAACTGTATCCGAATCAAACCTACCATCGCTTCCAGCTACTCGTTACTTGTGCGAGCCCAAGGGATTCGGTTTTTTCAGTACCCAGATAGGCCTTTCCGGACGTTCCAAAGCGGTCCGTACCATTTCATTCAACAACACACATCTGCCTCATTGACTGCCCGAGACATCAGTGTACAAATGACGGTTTAAAATGAGCCGCTTTATTTAGTTTGACCCATATCGAAGAGACGACTAATTTCTACTTCCTATAGGAGCAAACACAGTCCAAAGTGGTACGTCTCGATGCCGGTTTTATTTCATGGAATTCTAAGGATATCTATTTATTGCTTGAATCATCCCTGTTTCTGTAATACTGGAGTTATGGCTTTAAATAATCTAAAGAATTCCACCGTAACGTTGTTATCTAGGTAGTGCAATTTATTGAGCTGAATAGCGAGTTCCCGCGACTTTTCATTGCATAGACAAGGCCACATTTTTTATTCCTGTCACAATATGTTGTATATTTGCGTCATTGTATATAGTTCTTCACAGAATTGTGTTTGCCATCTTGCCTTAGGATGGCAGGTTTTTTTTAAAGAAGTTTTTCCAACTTCGAACGTTCTCAGTTATTGATTCATGTCAAAGGTTATTTTTCATTGAACGAGGAGGATAAAAATTCGTCGGAACGAGGTCCGAACAACATAAAATATGCAAAAAATCTCCCATTCGAAGTTCAGAAGGGCAGCTCTGACAATGTTTACCCTGGTTCACAACGCGTAGGTCACTGTCCTAGTTTATACGACACGATTCGTAGGGAATCAGGGCCTTACAGTCCCTACAAACAACAAACGGATGGAACCCTGGACTTTGGCTTCTTTTCTGGGATCGATATCTAGTTTATGTTGACGTGCAGACATCAGCCCTCATCATTGGCTACAATGATCCGCAAAAACGTCGCGTGACGTTCGATAACGTGTGGGATGTGGAAATTTAACGTTAAGCCGTTAGATTTCTTGTCAAACTAAGAGAGTTCAGGAGGTACCTAGGCTCCACATTTATATATAAGTCTAAAGGACTTGAGACGGTCAAAGACGGTTGGGCTGCAGCCCAACTGTTCGGACAATTTTCAAGTTGTTTTTCGACCGTTTCCCTTCGAAGATGCTCTTAGATGGCCGTCGGTCAGAGCACGGGCCATCCTTTACGTGCCGTGTACTTTTCAATTTCGAGACACCACTCTCAAGCAGTTCTTTCAACGATAGAGCATCACAACCATAAACACATGTCTCGGGCTATTTTCGCAGCGTCTTGGTCTCTACAAAATGCATAGTTCACAAGGTTCCACTTGAAGCATCCATCTTTGAGGAGTTCATAAAGGTGGAAACTGCAGTTGAACACAACGCCGTTACAATATGCTGGTAGAGCACAGGCAGAGTACTTTCAAATGGAGGTAAAAAATAAAAAGAAGTGAAAGGAGGAAGCTTTAAAAAATGCAAAAACTTACTACTCAACTCTATACGTTGGACTAAATATTTCTATAAGTATAGCAGTTCATCTAGACCTGCAATAGATGATGTCTGAGTGGGCCTTCGATGCCGTAGAACAACTAAACGTAATCTAAGTCTTGCTAGTCCAAATATATTCAAATGTATACCAAAACTATTTTTCCTGATAACTTTGTGAGTGAACTGGAAAAACTTGATTTTTGTTTGAAAAATATCAGCAGCATCGTTTATCGAGATTTCCAATTCTTTGATTTTGACTATGTCATGTCTATTGCGTATTCGAAAAGTTGTTTTATAATAGATCACTATTTCAAAGCGATACAACTCCTGTGCTAAATCCAGTTGCGTCGTTAGTCGTTAGGTATTAATTATTATAAACCGAGTAAGGGGTACTTACTGGGGCAGTTGTAGAGTTTGTTCGTTTGCGCGATGTCGCCTATGCTTAAACGAACCCGTTGTCCGATCTCTGGCCGCTTTCTGCTACCACCTTCGCCGATACGCCCTCCGCCAATCTACGCAAATAGCAACAGTAGAAACCAAATAAACAATAATCCTATTGCTGTTTCGGACGCATCATCTGTTATTTTGAGTTAACACTCAGTTTGGCTGGCCCTCAAAATGGGTGCTGCTTTCTACAAGCAATCTGATAGGCTGGATAAAAAGTTGCCATTGTTCTTGACCACTTCAGTTTCTTGTAACTTTCGAATGAATAAACACTTCTTAGTCAATGTAGTGTTCTGCGTTTTTCGCCCATCTTTTCAATGGCTTATATATCTTGCAAAGTGAAGAAAACTGGTTTTTCGAAACGATCCATGGTTCGACCAATTTGCGGTCTTCGGCTTCTGTTCGGAAACGCCCCCCTGACCATGCTGCATTCACTGAAACAAGTGGTAATCAGATAAAGCGATGTCCGCACTGTACGCCGGATACGGAAGTTTCCGATCGGATGTCCGTTAGTGATCGCTGGGTCACCAAAGCAGTGTGCGGTGTAATATTGTCAGGCCGCAGTATCCCTTTGCGTTGTCCTTTGCGAATCTGAGGTCTTTTCCGCCAATTTTGTCGCTCAGGTGGATGAGTTTATTTGTCTAAGGGTGCCAAATAGCTCATCGTATAACTTTCCCTTGTCGTTTCACTGTATGCTGACGTGTGGTTTTTAACCATGAATATCTCCTCCTGATGTCGAGCTGAACGGGTCTAACGATTCCGGTTTACGTGTAATAGCGCGATGTGGTAAAAAAAACTCAATCCTTCATTGCCAATAACGACCTTGTGTAGAAATGACTTGTGTGTGGTACAAGCAACGAAAAAGCATATTTTTGCGCCATTTTCATTAAGCTTAAATCTTACCTAGGGCATGTAAACAATTGACGACGGTCGTCTGAATCGCTTCTAGCTGTGCAGAGAGCGTCTAGGTCGACTGCACCGGATTTCGATTAAAGAGCGCCTGCAGTTCATTGTTGATAGCGTTCTGCAGCTGTCCGGAGCGTAGTTTATCGTTGAAGTTGAAAGCTCCGGTTCTAAAGCGACTTGACTAAAACTGGCAAATTTTCGAGCTTATGACACGTTTTTTCTAGCTCAAACATAGTGAAGAATACGACGCCGGACATGCATTTTTTCAAGCTCCATCACTTAACGTCCCGAATTATCACTTCTAATGACAACCGCTCAATCAAAACAACTGGGCAGACGTCCGACAGCCAAACAAATTTTCTGAGAGTCTTCAGCCGATCTCACATTAGCGCCATCTATTGATTCTAACGGAAACTTCTTACTCAATCTAATGGTTCACAAAAAGTGCGTCATTAAATAAGCTCGTACCAGTCCCTGTCACGGGTTATGCCGAATTTGACCGTCAAGAAACGTAAAAGGTACAGCGCTCTATTATGCGCACCCATTTTACACGAATCAGTCTTATAGTAAACAAAATATGACTGACTGGATAAGATTGCACAAAGAAGGTAATCTAGCCATTAACGCAAATGTTTTAGATTTTCGGAGCGAAGCGATTTACGCCGCGAAGTATCATCAAGTATTTTACTAGACGAACGGCCTGTAATTTCGAACGACCAAACTCAAAACGATGATTCCAAACAGCGAAATCGCTTTCTCCGCTGCGGTACTTATAGTTGTTATTGCTACAGTCTTCGTTCACCAAAGCTTTGCCTACCCGGTTCGGCTGCAGGCATTTTTGCACACCCTCTGCTGTCTTCTAGGTGCAGGCAACTGGTAACTATTAGTCACCTACCGCCATAATAATCTCCAGTACTAAGCGGGCTGCTAGCTACGAATAGACAGATTGGACCTGCTCGTCCTGCTTAGCAAGCACGCCTGATGTTGCTTGAAAAAGCTGCGTAGCAAAAAACGTAAGAGCGAGAAACTTTTTGACACACTTTCGCCGCTTCACCCATATGTGCCTCGCTAATGGGTAATCGATTTTTTACTCTATACGTTTTTGAGACGACGTCGGATCTGACTTCTGTTAGCCACGAAAAATGTTTAGACGTCCTAACATACATACGTACGAACTTGGCTCTTACCCATAAGCCACATCTGGATAACGACAGAGTTTTTGATGTAATTTGTGCGCATGGCACTGCTGCAGAAGTGGCTCAGTTCAATGGATAGCGCTATGTTTTCGTTCTAAATGATCTGGATGATAGATCAGGAATCACTCCGGCATCGCTTCACTGCTAATCGCTTAGTCTTCGCTATAACTAGCTTCACCTATATCTTAGGTATGAGTCAACTGAGCATGCGTAGCGTAGGGGCAAAGGCACAAAAATTCTGAATCTCAGATAAGAAACACTCACCCATGAACCTTTAGTTAATGCCTAGAATATCTCAAACGACATCCCAGATCAACAACAACTTTTCTTTGTCAACATTTTAGGTTTGTCTCTCATTTGAGTGGATCTGCTATGATTACCTGAAGTGGAATGAGGGCCGAAGAATCGTCTCGGGGTAGGATCGTGTCGAGGTTGGTATGCCTGGAATAATGTGAACAATCTCTAAGCAAATCGTGGTAGTTTGAAAGAGAGAAACTTCATCTCATCAGCCACTATCCTAAGCTGTAGTTTAACTTAAAAAGAGATTTCAATTAAGCTATCGGCGTAGAATTATAATAACAATACATTATGATTAAGATGTTTTAAATATACATTTATGATGCATAAACTACGTATTTGATACGGGTATACAGAGCTATTGTATGGGTAATCCTTACTTGGAAAACGTATTTCGTGCGTAGTGCATGATTGAATCGAAGTCATACGGTAGACCCAATGAGTTAACATCTTCCTCTGTCAATTTATTGAAGTTGTACTCTTGACCTGAAATAGCATCATAGAGAAACAGCAACGGAGCGATCCCTCATGTTCTTTAATTGAAGTTAATAAGGTGAAGCGACTATTGCTATGTGTATCTTGATACTTATATCGATATAATTGTGAACGATATCAGAAAGACACGAATTATTACCTTCGTAGGATAAAATAGCCTTTGCAAGCGAGCAGCAGTCCTAATACCGAAGGAATAAACATATTCGTAACTTACATTTGTAACTCACAGTTCGACTGCTACGCAAGTAATCAGCAACATGTTAGTACGTTTGCTAATGTTTGAGCTCTTCCCTACACATTGTTTACAATTTTGAAAAATTCTCCACTGCCAATATGTTTCTAGGTGCCTGATGTACTAAATACATACGTAGTTGTGTTTTTTGTTGCACGTTAATCCGTTGACGTTAGCATGACGTCACGACGTTATTATCGTCCTGTATCTACTACTGCACGTATGCACACCGTATACGCTATTATATGGTTCCGTAAACGACCAACATTTGGTGCTTAGTGCATGGCTACCATTCTTTCCTTTCGACGTGACAGATTTTTAACGTGGCGCACTAGTTACTATGCCGGTTGCGGCCGTTGCAGTGACGGAAAGATCTTTTCATGCAATCAATCTGACTTATTTGTTGTTGTTCGGTTTCACTTGACCCTGCAGCGGAAGCGACGCCTCTCACTCTCTTAAAAAACGTTAACTGGTGTCCCTGAAAAGCACCAGGAGTCTTCTAGGAGTTGGCGAGTCAAATCAAGCACTGGGCTGTAAAACAGGCAAAAGCTGCAGGTCCAGTCGGGTACGCCTGTATAAGCTTGGTATGTCTCTAGGTGTAAGGCAAACAGGCTGGCCCAATTGTAGACATGAATGGGCCCAGAAGTACTATAGTGAGGACCAGCGCATTACCAGCGACGATTGTTGCGTCGCAGAGCGATTCAAACGACCTTCTTTCTATCTGACTGAGGGTATCTGTATTGCGACTGTTCCTTGGGGACGACAAAACCGGAGGCCGAAGAACCTGGTCAGAGGTTTGAAGCGAGACTGCCAGAGTGAAACAGAGTCACAGGAACAGACAGAGAGAGAAAGGACGGAAAAAAGCAGACGAGGAAAGAGGGGCCCAGAGAGACACTGAGTGACGCGTCTCCAACCAATTTTCGGTAAGGTCCCCTGCAACCGCCCAGCCAATTGGCAGATTGCGTACGTAGCCTTGTGTACACTTGCTGCCATTAAAGAAAACCGGCGTTTTGCGTTGAAGCCACTATCGTTAAATGGGTACCTTATACAGAAGCTCGATGTCTGCTTGAATGACTCATACGCTTTTTTTGTCGTGATTTCTGCTTCTAACTTGTACGCTACTCTTGTTGTGATATTTCATAGCAACTCAGTGCCCAACTCGATTGCTGCCTCAAGAGGTTCGCATTGCTAGTAGTAAAGTCATGCAAGCTGTATAATACAGTTTTCTGACCAGTCACGCAGAGCACCTACTTAAGTCGACTATCATAGCCAACTGAAACTTGACTAATGGTGTTGATTAGTTCCACTTACTTAGGTTTTCGTCCCCTTTTACTTGGGTCAGCGTACCTCACTCTACACGTTTGTGCTATGATACCTTCTAATACCCTAGCTTCATTTTATTGTGGGTTTTGGAGCCAACACATGACACGTCAGATCCTAAGTTTAAGAAAAAAAGGGGTTAGCACTTCTTGTAATATCCTTGCTGCACTCTCTAACAGCACGAATGCATTAGTGAGGTACGCAAGAGACATATGCTTCTAGCCCTTCTCACGGTGCAGAATCTACTGCTGGTATATCCTGACCGCAGTAGCACTATTACTAATTGCCGCTGGTGCCAGCAGCAAGAGAGCATTGAACCGGAAGGCACGCCTTTTTCCTACGTTTCAGTAGTGGAAGAGCAGCACCCAGAGTGTCTTACGTTTTCTGCTTTTGCTACCATAACTCACTGCATATTAAGACGTGTGGCACAGCAAGATTAATGACTCTGCATCGCTCCTTATTCATCACCCAACGGGGACAGGTGGGCAGCCGGTTCAGCGGCCGGAACAACGAATGAAATATCAACTGTGGGTAAAACCAACAGCCTATTGAGCCAGCCAGCGAGTGACCCTATGTCCTTTAGCCTTTTCAGCTTACCCACCCTTTTTACATCCCTAGTTCGCTGCTTCTCCACTTCCTGTCATCTTTACCTATTCTATATAGTACATACTGTTGTCGTGGGTTGTATCAGTTAGGTGTTCCGGAAAAATTGCTAGCGAGAATGGCCTAAAACTGATGTCACATTGAAATACCGGCACTACGTTAGTAAATCGTGCTTGAGTGCAGTTGAAGTAAACGAAAAAGGTTTCCTTAAAGGAATTTCCAGCTGTACCAGGTTGGTCGTTCTTCTGCAACCACTGCGCCAGATGAAGTCCAATTAAAAAGCGACTTTGTGATGACGAGCTGTCAGAACGGAGAAAATAGACTACTGAGAACATTAACATATCAAACTAACATAGCTAAACGGTGTCATGCTCATGGTTGTATCTAAAAATATGTTTACCTTCACGCTGGAGTGTGTACTCGTATATCTAAAGGAGCATTGATTCGCGCATTTATTCTATCAAACCATTACATCTACCAGCTTTTTATTGCTTCCTTCGGGTAAGCACAAACTATTTGTGCGATTCTTCTGTGGTTTTGTCGACCGAAGTAAACCTTCTCAGGGTGGTAGTCCGTGTCCTTTTTGCCGTCAACGCCGTCGACGAGACAGCGCATTGGGACCTTGTCACGTGGTGATGAGGTTTAGGGTAATTATTGAAGACCCAATGAACATTGGAGCGGATCGAATTACGGTGAAAAATCTGTATACATCAACGGAGGTGACCAATTACTTCGCTATGGACGCGTAGATTCGCGTTGGCCCCATGTGCACAGTGAGCGCACTTACTACCCCTATACGACTATATACAATGGGTTGCTTATCTTGAATTAACAACGGTGAAGGCCTTGCAGGAAGAAGCTGCTAGTTACCACATCCACGTATAATCGACAGTAACAGATCAACAATCAGAAAACGACAATAAGCGGAGAAAAAGACGAAAAGGACAGGAATGTAGACAACCTAACGTATGAGACTTTACCGCGATATTAACGTTTTGCTACTGGTGGTAAATGTGAATGACAACAACAACCATTCTATATTTCATTGATCCGTCCTGATCAGCGGAACCCGGCCCAGGCAACTCGACTCGATTCCGGACCTCAATGCGCATACACACTTTCGACGAACTCTCTGTATGCAATAGAGTCTACACCGTTATCAGTATTTTAAAGCTGAGCTTCTGCTAACCTGTTATCAACTATTGATTCTAGGCTACTTGTTGGGGCAGTTGCGGGCGGAACCAAACTGAAATCGGCTGTCGACGATGACTGTATTAGTAGTGCTTGTGGCAGCCCAAAGCATAGCTTATCAAATGAAGCGAAAGGATAAAGCAGACAGAAAGCTACCGATACACCCATGCCAAAGAAGTGGTTCCTCCGGCTTCACTGCTTTCAGTATAAAAAAAAATTCATTTCCTAAATAGTGAGAACTCAGCCAGTTTCAGTTCATCCTGCGTTTCCTTTCTATATGAAGCAACTTGGTAATCAGGTGATTAGCTTCTCCGCTGTACGCTTCATTCTTTTTAGGTTTAGAAGGCACAGTGGGATATAGATGCCCTGGCGGGATTTAGCGCGGATATTCAAAAGGATAGGAGCCGGAAATGGCATTAAGATGCTAGAGCGGTGTCTTTTTTGGACGGTAGAGGTATGGGGGCTGAGATGAGGCGAAAGAGGAAGTAGCAAGCCATGAGTGCCTGCCTGCCTGCCGACTGCTACCTGGGCTCCGAAAGGACATCGTCAAGGGTGATGATGATGATGATGGCGAGCATGACAGTGTTGCCGCTGCCGCTAGTGAGAGATAAGGTAATAGTAGCAGTGGTAGTAGCGGCGATAATCCCGGCGGTGCTGAACGGTACAAAATTTGGCCGATAGCAGCAGTGGCAGTGACTGCTATTATTTATCATTGGAAAGCTTGCTGAACCAGCGTTCGTTTGGTGCCAGATTGATTATGCTTAGCCGTTAAAGGGGTCGACAGTTTCTCGTATTAGAGCGGCTGACACGGTATGGAGCTGTAAGGAATCTCCGTGAAGTCCCACTAGTGGTTCTATCTCTAACTTTAGCCGTACACGCGAGTTAGATACTACTAGCTACTTCCCGCTGATTACCCATGAAAACGACGAAAGGGAGAGAGAGCTTGGCTGATTAAAAGTCTGTTGTAATATCTGATATGAACCGCCAGCGCCTTCATTTCCATCTCTGACTGCCGAACTCTACTCTGAAAGTGTATACTTACATATATATGTATACTTGTGTATATGTATACATGTAGGTACTACTATCGGGAATACAGTTCGACTGCAATGTATATCGTGCTAATGTCGCATGGAACTGACCAGCCGAACGTAGCGCTTTTAAAATTCGACCCAAATCACGCTTCGTCGAGCCGACCCGCCATCGCATCAGTACGAATACGCTTTAATAACATATAGTGACAAATGCATAGAATAAAGTTCCAGTTCGTTACGTTTTGTTTCTGGCTAGTTAGCGGGATCTTACAAGTTACGAGATACATGTTTGGTCCCAGGGTCTTGAAAACAATGTTGCTTAGAAGGTTGCCAGGTAGTACAGAACGAGCAAAGAAAAGAAGCCTAAACTTTCTGGTAATTGGAAGTCTGAATTCCTATTACCGACCTACACACCTTAGCTAGACGTGCTTTTTCTAATGACACGTTTGGCGCCAGGCAAATCAAATTGTAAACAATAAAGTACATTTTTGACATAGCACTGGCAGATTATACATATACTCATGACGACGCGACTAAACGCATCTACTTCACTCTCCAGTGAACCGATACGACCTATCGCTAACATGCACAGATGCCGATGTATTAGGTTACTCCCATTTTTTTTTCCAACAAATGAGAAAAGTGTAGTTTACTAGAAGCAATAAAATCTGCCACGTAGTTTCCTTGATTGTACACGCCTTTTTTTCCACTTCACAACGACCATGTTCTTGCAGATTTGGGAACCGTCTGGCCGCAGCTCAAGTTCTTCTAAATTGCAACGGTTTCGACTTACTTATCTGCTTCAATGGAAAACTGAAAAGATAATAATGGCTTGCTTCGTGATCAGGAAGATGGAGAGATTACTAAGGGACCTGCTATTTGAACTTACGTAAAACAGTTTTCGCGACTTTTGCTGCGCACGGTCCGTCATTCTCCTGAAGTACGCTGGCTGTATCATGTCAGACGGGTCCTTTTTAGTGTCGTACTTCAGCCAATGATCAGTTAAATTCATGGTTTTGTTTTTTCCAAAAATGTTTCTGAACTGTGCTTGTCGCAACTGTATGGTCCACCAAAATACGTGGGCCATTTAGATCTAAACTACCAATTCAAAACGTCGGCAATTACCTTTGGAGGTCAGCTAAATTATCATGTGCTCTTCTTAAACAGCACGGATGTCATGAGCAGTTTCAGCGATACTTTGACCTCAAAGGAAAGTATTATGAAAATAGTATCGAAACCGCGCGATCCTACCGCCGAAAAATCGACTTTTCGAGTCTGAACGAAATGATGATTATAAGTTTGCTGCACAAAGCCCGCAACAGACAAAAGGAAAAGGCTATAGGAAAGCGAGCAAATCCTTACTACTATCTTATTTAACGCTAGCAAGACAGGGCACGCGCCCCTCGAAAAACATACAAGTCGAAACTATGAGCAAATTGTACCTTGCATTATATTTTTATCGATAATGTGCACGTGGTTATCCCTGTCTGGCCGGGTATGTTCGTGCCAGAAGCCGACGACGTGGCCGAGTTCATGCACGACGATTCCGAATTTGTCACAATTCTTCCCTGAAATCGTACACGAGAGATGCAACACAGTATCTTGATTAAAACGAGGAAATACGCTACTTGGCAGATAAGCTTTCTGCATGAGCATCTCCTGCACGCATATCGACTGTATGTCTATATGCGCTTCTGCAATATGCGCTTCTGATGAGTTCTATGAATAGACAACACATTCAAATCTACCTCGGACGAAGGGATAGCTCTAGGATCACGACGTGGATAGCAAGCTAGCGAGCGAGCTTCCTGCTGCACCTATTATGACTGTGAGACGAATGGAAGTCTAACCACAAAAGTAGTTACTAGGCATTAAACTAAAAAAGGCAACATGAAGGCCAAACGAATGTAAGAGAAGCTAACACAGGAGGAGATCCATAGATGCTGCTACCATCTATACGATTGAAAATTTTTTTCTCACTCCGTACGACTTCGATTGAGTTTAAGCACTGCGAGTAGCACACGACGTAGCAAAAAGGCGACGAGTTCAACCGAAAGCTAATTTACGATCGCGTTTTTGTCCTGCATTGTATTCTATATAATGCCGCGTAACGGAAACAGAGATGAAAAAAGTCATTGCGCACATAGCGAAGGGCGTCAATTTATGTTGACGCTATAGTAAGCCTGTTTTTTGAGAGAATTTTAGAACTAGAAAGGTAAAGAAGAAGTACATAAATTGATAGTAACGTTTATCGGACCAAGAAAGTACATGGAAGGTGTAGCAGCTGCGACAGAATTTTGCTGATGTTAAGGGCTAGTCTGCATGTCCTGCGTAGATATATATATTCAGGACAGATAGACCACATTGTCGAGATCGTTAATGTAATTTAATATAACAGGAGCAAATTAACAATCCAGAGGTGTTCTATTATACAAAGCATTCTCCTATGAATGGTAGTTCACACATAAATGGCGCGAGCGAATAGCAATAGAAAGGAAGACATTGCGGCATTGGCATGTTAGATAAAGTACGTACTACAAGAGCTTTTAAAAAAAAGACTAAATATTATATGACTGTGCTAATCATCATAACTATATAATTATTGAAGTATAACTACATGCTAGAAAGTACGTGATTAAGTGAAGTAATAAATGTATGCACGTCGATCAGTTTGCTAATACGTACCAATAGATATAGCTTGGGGCCCGTTGCCCCGTTTGCCTACAAATGAACAGCACCCACAGGGCCGTTCGGTGAACACGATGTAGTTGTGATGAACTGGCTCCTTCTCAACGAACTTAACACAAGTATAGTTCTCCCAGTGAAGCATAGCTTGCCGAAATAACGCCCGATGAGGACCTGTGGAAGATAGAAGTCATTTGATCGTCACAGATACTAATCCATTGCATCTGTACGCTTATAACAGCTGATGTTCGTTTTACCCTCTAATTAGAATTGAAGAACATCTAACTAGTTGCTGAATGAGATTGCCCACGTAAGAAAAGCAGGTACTGCATATTATTTTTACTTCGGTCAGATTATAACTATATTAGACTCACGGATCAATTTAGTATTGCCACTGCTTAATTGAAGCTTCATTAAGGAACTCTCCAATTTAAAATGTTGAAACTTTGTAAAACTTGGTCGAAGTGAAAACTTGCTATCCGTAGTTTCAAGTATACGATGCGCTAGCTAACAAAAAATAGATTCCCAATAATGAGATTATTCCCACCAATTATTCCCAATAATAACTTAGGCATTTTGTGCGCGACTCGGTGCAAGTGAAACAATTTCACTTGAATTTGACAACTAACTTTAGAAATATATTCCCAAATGTACAGATGCAGACTAATATGGCTAGGGAAATAATCATTTTATCGGCATCGAAGACATATATATCCATCCATTTACATTAGGGTATTATATAGCGGTGCTTGACAAACAGCGAAATTTACGTAAAAACAGTTATGTAATCGAAACACTTCACGTCCATAACCTACTTCACAAATTGTGTTAGAGGACCATCTGTACTAATTACCTCACGTTTACGTTACTTAGTCCTTGAGTCAAATAGGAAATCATTTATTGTTTTAGATGCAGTCCGTGGGCAAAGTTTGCCGCGATAACGTTCAGAGGCATTCCGTTTAGAAAAGTTAGAAGCCAAACACTGTCGACTACAGAATTCAACATGGACACTGCGGCTAACATCGAGTAAAGAGTTGAACTTCCGTGAATTTTTTGCTGTTTCTCAAAAAAAACCTTATTTGTTAGTTCATTGAGTATTTTATGTTATGATATATATCGTTTGTGATTCACCGATGGCAATGCGTGATCAAATGCTCATAGTCGCTCTTCTAGAACGATTCCTGCTCACACAGAGATCGTAGACGAACGGGCCACCGTTTGTCGGTCAGCGTGCAGTCGTATGGTTTTCGGTGGCGACATCAAGGGATTGCTAGTCATTAACTGGATTATGACGAAGATTGCCGTTTCGCAAAGACCTAACGCAGGTAGAATGGGGCGACAGATTGGCGACTCGGCTACACCCTCAGCTCCGACGCAACAGGCTTCCATGTATAGAGATAGGTAGGAGAGAAATAGAATAAGCTCTACAAGTCGTTTGCTATTGCTGCTGCTGCTGCTCACCTGGTTGGGCAATCGGTGGCTACCCAAACGCTTTTGCCTAGGCTACGCCCTTCGAGTTCCGGTGCAAGCCAGCGTAGAACTGATAATATTCTGCACGACCCGCCTGTCAGGGAAAGTGGCTACTGCACAAAAGCTCTCTAAAGTAAACATGATATACTGGCCACTGAGTGTCGACAGGCGTGAAGTTGCTTCGCAGACTTTTAACTCGTTATCAAAAATTATCTTGACTTAACTGTTTACAACAAATATACGATGATTGTTTAGCTATGATGTATTGGTAGACAAGCGTCCATATACTTCTCCACGACGTGATAAAACGGTTTTTCTCACTGTTGACGAATCTACGCTTGAGCACATGTGGCAGTTCTATTTGGGAACATTGTTCTATGTTAGATGTCTAGCTAACGGTTAGCTCCCGTGATAGGAACTCATTCTAATTCTGCTCGGAACCCTACCGTATGTTACGAGCCAATTTATTATAAAACTTCTGTTCAAGTACATCTTGTCAAGCAAAAACTGTAAACGCACCTTGTTTATTAATTATAAGAGGGATTTAGAATCGACACACAATCGAATCTGCCCATACCTTTCGCTTTCGCTCGGTCTGAAACGTTACCTGAAAAATTTGCCTCTATTTCGTAGGGAATTATAGCAAAGTCCCATAATCGGTCAACTCTGGCTGTGGCCGCGCGATGAGATCGTCTCCGGCTTTGCCGCCAATGATCGTGGTACCGTATTCTGAAAGATATACAGCACGCTTGTTAGAAGAAATTCAAAGTTGCACGCAGTACCGCTGAAGAGAGCTTAAAGATTAGGGAAATAAAAGGCTGTCTAGAAAGCTACAGATCAGTACAACGATTACGATGCACTCAGTACCGAGAAGCTTTCCGGAACAGTCAAAAAACATGTTCGGAGCAAATTACGTACTTCTCAATTGTAATTAGCGATTTTTTCTACGTGATCAGTAACGAGCAACACCAGAGATATGATATAAGGCCGAGGTTGCATTTGTCCTGAGAAGTACGCTCGGCTAAGGGCGTTTAAAAACTAAAAAAAAAATCACATTAAGCAAATGGATCCAATGTCAAATAAGTTGTCGATCTATACATTATGATTAATGAAACAACCCGACCAATTGGTTTAATTCTTGTCGGGCATTACCGCTAAATTGCCTCCAACGTATGTCACTGTATTGTATGTAACATAATATAAATTTGGTATTACGTAGCAAGATAATATGCAGATAGGTTATTTTATTTATATACGTGGACGTTTAGCAGCTTTTTTAAAATGTGAGCTTTATTAAAAGCAGTTTGTTTAAGTTTATTGCTCTATTGCAATAGTTATCTAGCCTTAAGGTGCAAAGGATACGGGACCTCAATATTCATTTCTAGAGCATATTTTCGAAAGCCGTAAATTCTAACAAATCTCTTAAATAAAGCGTACACTCGCACTCTATCGAAATACTTTTTGATAAAGGTAACTATGTCGTGTGTCAATATACAACAGTTAACAAATAATGGGTATATAATAATGAGTATAACAAAATTTATTCATTGCATGTCACGCCTATTGCAAGTGTTACATCGCGACATGTACTAAAGCCAAGGAGATCAATTATAAGTTCTTTTATAATGATTCGTTATCTAGTTTTCAGTAGTGTTCGTGCTAAGGGCAACATGTCTTTTCTCCCCTACCTGTAGAAACACATGTGGCAAAATATGCCACAAGCAGCACACGAAGTTAGTTGTGGCATATTTTGACTACTTCTAACTAGTCTTTTAAAGTTTAATCTGAATTTGAATCAAAGTTCCATAACTCAACAAACGTAGGATCTCCTTTCTATCTCCGCGCAAACAACACAAAATAGTTTGAGTAAACATGCTTTTTTTTTTTATATATGTCTTTTTTTTTTGTTTACAAAACGCTTATACTCTTACAGCAGGCGTAAAGCGTTGCGAGCCGCAATGCCTGGTCAGTTCTCGATAACCCATTTTCAATCGTTTCGAAAATTTTCACGAGCAAAATGTCCAATTAAAAGCACTAGGTATAGTCCAGCATGCAACCCATCAACCAACCGATATCAGAGAGCGGCTTCCATAGCAAGAACAAGGCAAGTTTTCGTCTAGTGTTAGAATAGCACAACAGTTGGCGCTAGTTGACGCCCGCTCGCTTGCTTCCCCGTAATAAAACAGTCAGCTCAACGTGTATAGGCTGTAGACCCAGCTTCCGGTAACAAATGCGGACACCAAGACACATCTTTCACATGTATCACTGTGTCTTTAATATAGATACATATACATATAGCGAGAGAGAGACTATTCTCTCTGTCTGCAAGAAGCTTGTAGTAGTGAAAGGTCGTGACATGCATTTATTTGGTTCGAGGTGTATCATCTTCCTTCTGTAGCAGTTTCGTGTCACAACCGTTACTATCTTCAGCTGCAGCTGCTCGTCTGTGATCAGCTCATCATATCGAGCTGTGTACCAATATCTACAAAAACGAGTCTCATTGGCAGTTTCAGCTCGTACAATTCCCCAATTGTTGTCCTACATGACTTGAATGCGTGGCAACATAGCGTACTGTAAGAACGGCAATGTCCATAGTTGTCTTCGTTCGGTGGATACTCTGGTTACTCCACCGTTAGTCTTTTTTTGCTACCAACTCCTCTTTGCACCGTATTCGTTCGTTGAGCACACGAGCTGTAACTGTTACGTCTGCTTATGCTATTGCTTCGTATTTCATGTCTTGCATATCGTTTAGAGTTCTAACTGAATCTTATGCCTTCATTTTCCGTCCTGATTGTCTTCGTTATCGATACCGGTTTTGTTGCTGTTATTGATCTTCTTACAGTTTCGCTACGCTCACAGCTAACCATAAAAACTTTATTTTTTTCACTCCTTCGTGTACATGATCCACGCGAAAGGTTCCAGTGAAAAGGGGCCTTCCCTAGTACCTTCCTTGTACAGCGTTGAGATCGGGTCTGTTCAGCCTGTAAACTTGACGTGCCGTCCTCTTCCGGCAACCCGAATTATGCACATCTGTCTAGCCCCAAGCACAGAAAGACAGCGTGACGGCGATTGACGCGCGACGTGCTTAGAAGAGCGGCTTTCTCCTCTCTCGTGGCTGGCGCGAGAACGCTTTCCTTTTACGGCGTCCTATTCTTACCAGGCTTTTCTTGCTTTTCTGTTGTTCGCCCATTTCGTCATTTTATTTTTCGCTTACCCTTCACATCATATCCCTTTCCCCGCTCTACCGGAACAATGGTACTAACGTCCGCCTTTTATTTTAACTCTTTATCTTGCAAATATCTGCACTCAAAGCGGCGCTGTAGTGGCTTCTGTTGATGCACGCGCTCGCCAGCTCGTTCTCTTTTCAGCGTCGACTTTCCTCCCTTGGCTCGTCAGTAGTTCAGCAGGGACGCGAACGCGACCGTCCGGGCAAGCACATCCGCCAAAAGAGACTCAAAAGCTCGAAGGCTAGGAAGGCCTTGAACTAGAATCCCCTGCATTGTAACGTAGTGTGCGCTTGAATTCGGAAAAGAAGGATAGTCCTGGCTGGCTTTCGGAAATTTGCTCGGGTCTACGTGGTGAGAACGTCTTATGAATGGCCGATTCCTACCCGTTCCACATGTGAAAACAACAGCGCTACAAGCATCGGAAGCATCAACAATAAAAGCAGAAACGAGCAAATGTGTTCCAGTAGGAAACTGTTACGAAGCAACAGCTTTTCCTTATTGCCACCATTCCATTTCTTACTCTTTTATAACTGACTCGAAAACATCTTACCGCTCCATATCGTCGTCGGCATAAGCATTTACCTGCTATAAAGATAACGATATAATGGTATTATTGTTATAATAATAGTTATTCTGCTAATGTTCTCAAGTCTGAATGTAAGCAAGAAACGACCGAAGCTGGACAGACGAGCGGGCAGACGAGAGAAAGAATCCCCGGATTAGCCGAGGCAAAAGTAATACGAGTTATCATCTTTCTAGCTAACACTGTATCTCCCCGATAACCGTAATTTGCTGTGCGTCTTTCTCCTCGCTCAGTGCCTCTCGTTCGAAAAGGAACACCTGAGCGCACCGATTCCTGCTTCCACGAACCTGAGCCTGCAAAGACTCGCTCGGCGACGAGAAGGCCGTCTTGTGGCCAGTTCTCAGTCCGGCGCACCTCAGAGAAAAAGATAACGCCGGTGCCTCGTAGAAAGCGCGAGTCCGTCTCGGTTTTTATTGTCGGTGCTTATGTTGCTGGCCTAAATAAAGCTGAGGCGGTTCGATTCAAATCGTTCTTCTTCGTCTATATGCACACCGCACATCGTATGTGTGCTATATCGCTTTTCGAATTGGGTTAGAGGTCGAGATAAGCTATGCTTTTCACCGTTATTCTCCCAGCGCCGCCACGCGTGCTGTTGCCGCTGCTGGCTGTAGCGGGCACGGAGTAACAAAGCAGCGACGGAAAAGCGGGAAATACCGTACGGGAAATAGCGTACCCGCCCTGGCAATGGGTTGTGGCTCACTGGGAGGAAGCCTGGTAGCCGTTAGCGTACTCCGCGTGTGGGTTCACTCGTCGTCGACGCCGCACGAGAATAACGTCGCCAGCAGCAGCAGAAGCGACGTGGGAGTGTGTAACCGACAAGGGAATTCGTGCTGCAAGAGTAGCGGTGAGTATAAAGTTTTATTATGAGGTGGCCCGAGAGGACCAGAGGGGTCGGTTAGCGCGAACGTACGAGAAACTACTGAGACCAGAGCAAGACTTGCTCGGGCAGCGGACGCGGTCAGGGGGACAGGGCAAGCAGTGGGGTGGCCGCGTCGAGAAGAAGAAGCGAATAGTACAAGGCAAGAGCAGCATGAGAATCACAGGAGTATCTGTCAGGAGCTACTCGCTGGAGGGTCGCCTTACTGGCTTTGCTGGCTAGCCAGAAAAAACAGGACACTGTACTGCCTGTAGGGCTATGCAGTCCACATGGGCAAAGTCAGCAGGGGTAGCAGTCGGTGAAGAAATGTGGGCTTTCGTCGACGCTAAGTGGCTCCGGCTCCCTCTGAGCTCACGCACATACAGAAAAGTCGAGACACATTGTGGGAGAACGGAGTTCATCGGGCGGGAAAGGCGAACAGGACTAGAAGGAAAACGTAGCTACGGGCGAAGTTTTGCCAGCTTTTCGCTTGGTCCATTCTTATTCAATCGTCGGGTCACTCTTTACCCGCCTGGAAGAGACCGCGCGTAACTCATGCAGTTGGTTTTTTGGCTCAAATTGCAAACTAAGCCGAGACGCTTCAATCAAAATCTATATTCTTAGATTAAATAGTTGAAACAAGGTGTTATGTACGTGATTTAAATATATGGATTGTACGCAGGCAGCGACGACTGACCAATGGTCAAGCAGACATGATTTTCATAAATTAGCATATAAGGATTCGTTTCAGCCAAGGACTACTGCGAGGCAGCGATGCTATAGATGATTTGACAATAAAAGGATAAAGCATGCTTAGGATTGGGGCACGTCTCTTCAACTAGATTCTTCAAGTTGCGTATTGTTGAAAAAGCATACCTTAGGCCCATAGAGCCTACAGATCAAGAATACTTTAGGGAATACTTAAAGCTCTAGAATGACTATTTAAGTTTATGATATTCTATTATAAATCTCCGTTCGATCAGTGCTTTCGCAGGCCACCTCGCTTAGTGTCGTCGGAGTGTGAGCTTATGATTTCGTAGGCAGTAAATAGGAGTGGATTAATCCTTTAGCTATAGAGATCCAGTAAATATCCTATGATAAGTTCGCATTGGCGTCCCTGTGTGTCGGCTTAGCTTAATGTGAAAACTTTGAAAAGTCCACTCAGAGGAAGGAATTTCATTATCTCAACGTTGTTGTGGTTAATGGCGCAAATAGCGTCGCTTACGATGATTAATAGTATAATACCAACCTGTAATGTTCACTTGTTCTATTCGCAGGAGTCATAAGAAGCGACATATTTTATCGACAAAGCTCGAAATCAAGTTTTCCATCAAGCTACAACATGTTTATTCAACCATCGATGATAGCGCACCTGTCAGGGGGCAATTTATCGTTCCGTCAATGGGACAGTTAAGAACAAGATGCCCATACAGATTGAAAGCGGAAATTTTAGAAAAATGTTTTCGATACGTATGCTGTTAAAAGATATTGTCTTTCACTAAGGCGTAGCGGTCTTCACTGTTGTGAAAGCTCTAGTTACCCGCATCTTATATTAACTATTTCTCCTACCCTAAATAGGAAAGTTGTTAAATAAAAATGGTCGCCTTTCAAGCCGTAGGCTTTGCTGAGGTAAAATCGAATACTTTTTTGCCTGGGAAAAAACTTTTGAAAAGTGCCCGGATTTCAAGGGAAAATAGTAAGTGTCAGTTTAATTCCATATTGCTTTTTGCGACTATTCGTATAATTAAACTTCTGTTGTAATTCTGGATATACCATACAATGTACAGGTACAATTGTAGAGGTTGTTCCAACTTACAGTATTCTTGTATTTGTGTCGTTCGTCAAAAAGCGAGCATAAACCCAAATCGAATACAACTTATGCAACCTATTTTTGAACTAGGTCCTTTGAAAACGTCAAAGCAGTTTTAGGTGGAAAAATATGAAAAAGTCTTTCCCACCTCAAATTTTTTCTGCGATGAGGGTGACTTCTGTTGAGTTCCGGGGCGTGACCTTGTGAACTCGGCTTTTCCCCACCGTGGTGTCTGCTATGAGGTACTATCCATCCGACAATGTCTGTACCTTCAGGGCCTGGAAGCAGCATAAAATCCCGAAATAAGAAACTCGCTCTAATCATTCAGCACAGTTATGCTATATAACAACACTATTGAACGCAGCGTGCAGAAGCACCACAGTTATTGTGCAGAAACAGCTGCGAGTGGATGCGCTGTATATATATATATGTAGCAGATCAGATAGTTCAAATCAAACGAATAAACACAAAACAATATTTCGCGCCTAAAATATTAGAACAACTATATTATGAGTATCGTTTCTTCAGTCCTCAATTGTTTCATATTTGTCGTCACTAAACAAATAAGTAGGAAGTAAGTGTAATAAATATGTGTTCCTTTTGCCCAACATAGTCTACAGATTTTGCCACAAGTTTCATCAAGCATAGCAAAGGAGAAGTATGTGCCGTCTATTCGTAGTAAGTTTTCGCCACTGAAATATTACTTATTTCAAACTTTCATTCTCGTAGGCATATAATTGTCCTAGAATATGTTCTAAATTAAGAGTGGCCTTTCTACGGTGATTCGTTTCCTCTCGGAGGAATAGAAAATATACATGCTTTGTTTGTATGACCGCTATATGGCAAAAATTCCATTTAATCATACCTTCCATTTTTTTCCATTTCCGGAAGCGCAAACCAATGTCACTAGGACCCAATGCACGAAGTAATGGCGTACGCTAACCGGTTTTTATTTATGATGTGTGCGTATGTCTACATGGTCATTGAATTTGCAACACGAGAAAATAACCTGTGCGAGTCTGAAATAACTAGACTCCTGGCGAAGATGGCGGCCGACAAAGTGGCCATTAGGGATCTTTTCTAAGTCATCTGTCAAATACCGGTACTTCCGACAATTCCAACACCCCTTCCGCTTATCGTTGCTAGGACTTAACAAAATGCGTTGCTCTAAGCTACCTAAAAACGTTCTGAGACGTTAATTCTTTTAGTGAAAAGTGACAGTTAGCTCAATTGCATTTTGCCTGTCCTCACTACGAGTAAAAATTGCTAAGGAAATAAATGTTTCAAGAATTCCACTCTGTCGCTATACTTACTTATGCCTTTCAACCAAAAAAAATATAAATGGAACTACTGAGATGAAGGAATAGATTCCCTTTGGAGTTATAGAATGACCTTCTAACCCGTCAAGCTCAGGCTACAAAAGCTATGGCCTTTGGGTTTGCCACAAGGCATAGTATGTTTCTTTCGTGTGTTTGCAATAGAAATCAATTTTCAGTTTCACTAGCAGACAACACCACTTGAAGAGAAAAAAGAGGATATGGCAACATTTTGAAAAACAATACAGCGCCATTCAAAGTAAGGATTACTTTTTCTTCCGACCCGACTCCTTTCTTTTCTGCAGATCCTCATCCGACAGATCACGGAGAAGATCGAAGTCACCGCAGGCATTTTTCTTCTGGCCGGCCGCTCGGTGTTGTGCGATGCGGCCTCCCCGTTACTCTGTTTGCTTTAGTACTCAAGGGGCTCGCTACCGAGAGCCGGCATGGGACGGGAAGTTACTGGGGTAAAAAAAGAAATCAGGACACGCAAACGAGGGCGAGGTAGACCGGAAAGAGTTTTCATTCAAATGATTTCTACTTCCGTTGGGCTGCGCTTGCCTCTGGCCCGTCCCTACTAACTTCCGGCAAACGTGGAAAGAAGGGGCCGTGGAATGAGCTCACTGATAACCCAAGCAGAGGACAGTTGCAGCTTAGAATTCCAGCCGAAATAACTTGTTGATCTAACCGTAACCAGCCAGAGCAAACGACCAGTGGTAATAGTCGGTCACTACTATATTACTGTCTGCCCAGACGAATCAAGGAAACCAAGTAAACCTCTGGAAGCCCCAGTTAGTTGGCTGGTTCAACTTGAGTGAGTTAAGTTGAATTCAGTCTATCTCAAACGTACTTCTTACTGTACTTCCAGACAGCTTTAATATTTCGCTTTTCATTTTTTAATCAGACCAGTAGGATATGTTTGTGTGTTTACTAGAAGGTAGCAGACTTTAACCTACATACACGTGCTTGTCAATCGCTCGTTTTCGTATATAAGTAAGTAAATCTAATGTAAAACCTATTTAAACTTCAAACAAAGCATGTAAATAACTTCTTACTCCCTATGAAGCATATTGGAAACTCGCAGAAAGAATATTTTGTGTGTTTGAAACTGAAAAACCTTTTAATGCTTTCCTCTAAATTGCGTATCTTGGACATACTCTGTATACCAAATATAAATCTCATGGGGTATCTATTATACTTTCTACGTTCTCCTCCTCATACATTTCGTGAAGTTATAATTTTAGCCTGTGATGACAGAAAGGCCACTCCTCCATGAATCCATTGGTAGAAGTAGCGATGTCTCCAGTGGTGGAGACGGCCGAAGTAACAGGATCCACACCAATGGATTTCGAGTCCCTCAAGGTATAGCGGAAAGGAGCGGGACGGGGAACGAGCTAGGGATACTGAAGGGAGCAGGTGGAGCTAGCTATCAGGCACTGCCGCACCAATGGAGCTTAATTAACATGCCACGGACCAGTTCACATGCGCAAGGAGGGTCCGGTCAGTCTCTACGTCGGCGGAGCTTCGACTTTCTGCCCAGAAATCTAGAGCCCGTTTGCTGGACCGCCAGCCGCTACTAGCTGGTCATACGGCTACTGACTACGCCAGATGTTTTTTTAGGTGAGGTCACAGTAGATAATGAGAGACAAAACCTGACGTTTGCCAGTACTCCTGAGATAGGCCCTATCTGTTCCAGTGGCCGAAGCACGGTGAACCAACTAACCAAACCACAATAAAGCAGGAGCAGAAACGCTACCACCGAATGCCTTTAGTACTCCTGCTCCTGCCAAGTTAGTTAGGAGTTAGGAGAACTCTTCCTATATAAAACTGATGGAGAACTTTGAAGGATTTATTGACATTCATTATAATTGGATATGAACACAGATTACAATCCGCCAAAAAGTCGAGTCTAAAGACCGATTGGCAACAAATTTTAGATGTATGTATAAGAAGGTGGACCTATGTGGACCAAATTTGCCTGAAGTTATTGTCGAATACAACTGTTGTCACAGAAATCATATTAGTGGTTATTGTCGCGCCCGAACAATGCGTTTGCCAATAGAGCTGTCAAAGAGTTTTATAGAAACATACGTTGTTGACGTCAGAAGGTGCCAAATCACGGTGCCTCAGTTTAACTTGAGATATATACACATTCGATACAAACACACACTTACCAAGCAGAGTAGTGTTTCTAGATCATTTAGTTCTTTCAATTTTTTTGTAAAATCAGCCCTGACGGTATGCGGTTTCATTTATGCCTCAATGCAGTGGCCCATGTTGCCCCAGGATAATCACTTAATATAATTCAATGTATTGAGAAAACACACCTTGCTTTAAGTATGCCTTTGAAAGTGTAGTAGAAGCATGAATTAATTATCGCGCCTTTTTTTTATAACAAAATGCAAAACCTAGCTGTGCCATAGAGTCCCACCTTTTGAAATTTTTTCAAAAAATCGCACTAAATTCCTGACCCCTTTGCATCTTGAAAATTCTCGAAGTTTTGTGGTGTAAAAATTTAAATTAACGCCTTTTTGTTGAAAAAAAACTGCACTCGGCCATATAGTCCCTATCCCATGCAGCCGCGCCTCTATGTATATTGATAACGGAAGCATAAATATACATTGATAGGAAACGTAAGCACACAAATAATTATAATCAAAGTGACAGTATCTGACTCGAGAAAAAAGGTCTATTTTTTTCTAACCAGCTTCATAGGTGTATTAGAATAGACACTGCTTAGAGTTAGTCGGTCGCATTGGTCCTCTATTTTTCTTATGCTAATAAGATGACAGTAAAAATGCTTCGCTGCGTACATAGGAAAACATTTCCTTGCTTAATTCTACCGAGTTTCAGATGCCCTTCGAATCTTTTCAAGAAGTATATTTACTTATGTCTAAGTGAGTGTCAAACCAGCGAGCCAAACGAGTCGCACGACGCTTTTAGGTTTAAAAGGTGAACCGAATGGCCCTGCCTTGCTCATTTCAGAACGCTGTCTTCATTTGTGACTCACGTAGCTGTTTCTTGCGGTACGCAAGACCCTGTAAAAAAAACCTAGACATAGTTCATAAACAAATACTATCATTTGCCAGGTAAAAATTCGGGTCGGCTGTAACGTAATCTAGTAACAGGGCGCTGAACTTGGCACACCCTGCGCGTCATTCGTATGCGAAGCACCGTACAAAAATTACTTCGTTTACGAATCTCACTCTCTATGAGTTGTGCGTACGTCGCAGTTTTTATTTACCGTGATTTTACCATGTGACAGAGTACTAATAACTGATAGCAGATCAGTTTATCTTTCGTCCATTATAGGTATTGTTAGACCTCACTTGACGCGTATATATGACATAATTAAAAAAGGTAGATAACAATGTCTGTTTCTTGCTGGATCAGTTTATGTATGGAATCGCTTAGAAAAAAATTACCGATACGCTCATACGTCTAGCTTGCCTGTAGCTGTGCGTCCAAGAAAAGAAATGCTGTTATTGTAGGGACGCATCTTTTACATAAGCGTAGAAAATAGCTGGCGAGGGAGTTCTGCAACTCGTAACTTAACCTGTTGTGCTTCTCGCGCAAGGCAAACGCACGAATGTGGCAAGTAAGGCCCCAAAAAAGGTCCGGCCCAACTAGTTATCTTTACCCGCGGTTAGTCAATGCCTTCTTGATGCATGCGGTAAATACGCACGTCGACCTACAAATGAATGAATCTATTCCGCTGCGATATCCTGACCTTAAGCGGAAACTTCGGTGAGACCTCGATCAAAAAGTCCCGTTGCGTTAGAATTGTTTAGAAAATGACCATGAAGTAAGCCTAGCAAACTCTAATGCATGCCAACAAATGATTAAGGTTGTATGATTAAAGGGATCAAGAGATACGCCTAAATAATAAAAATGTATAGCGCTCACAGACTTAGTATGTAGGAGATCAATAATCATTTGGGGGCAAGTAGGAGGACGAAAAT